AGGTAGTTTTCCGAGGAAAAAAAGGTGGAAAAGCGCTTTTCCGACCATCGGTCTTTAAGATGATTCGATGGACGCCATATTTTGTGTCAGAATGGCATGCGTTTTTTCAGCTACTCGTCATTTTTCTCTAATTTTGAGATTGCAATTCTGTTGTCAGCAGAATAAAGCACTCACTCACCAATTTTAACAAAGAAGTTCAACGTAATAACGGCGTGGTCTTTTTAGAGAGAAAATATTGCATTCGCGTGCAGTTTCGATATCAGTATCGAATGCGATGTTTCCTCTCTAAAAAAACCACGCCTTTATTACGTTGAATTTCTCTCTTAAAATTGGTTAGTGAGTGCCGTAGTCTCCTGACAACAGAATTGCGATCTCAAAATTGGAGAAAAATGACGAGTAGCTGAAAAAATGGAACCAATTGATGCGATATATCGCATGCCGTTCTGACAGAAAAAAAATGGCGTCCATCGAATCACCTTAACCTCAGTCTGACAGATTCAGATCGTGGGACTCCTATGTGTCAGATGTGGACGCATTGAAAATAGAAGGAGAGGGAAGCTGAGGAAGGAAAAGAGAGTGAAAGAGAGGATAGAAAAGAAAGAGAAGAAGAGGATCCTGGTTAAGAGGTCGACGAAGAAGAAGAAAAAGAAGAAGAAAAGAGAAAATAAGAGGCGGAGGAAGAGGAGGAAGTAGAGGTTAAGAAGAAGAAAAAAAAAGTGTAAAGCGGAGGAGAAATGTATTTTTTTCCGCCTCACTCTCATTTTCTACTTTATCTCCTTCTCCATTTCTTCATTTTTTCTCTTTTTCTGATTTCTTTTTTGATTTTTCCTCTTCCGTTTCATTAGGTCAAAGACTTATAGCCGTTGGTCCTATCAATGTGGCCTAGGTATGTAAAAGAGGATCTAAAGGACTCGAAACTATCAGATCAGGGTCAAGATAAATCCTGCCTTTCAATTTCCCCCGATTGTCTTCGAGAAAAAAGTACCCTCCGCAATTCGGGAGAAAATATTGATGCTGAAATAGTTGAAGTCAAACTTTTCAACCTTAGTTTAACGAGTACTGTCAAATTTAATCATAAAAAAGTTTCAGTGCAGGTAAAGATGAAATTCCTGGTCTACAATATTACAAGATCGACAAAAAGCGAGCGGAATAGAGGAAGAAAGGTAGAAGTTGAGAGTAAATATGAGGGAGAGAACATCTTCATCACGGATGTAAGGAAGAATGGGGGAAGATGTAGGGGCTCCCTTGATTTCGACCAAATTTGGCAGTTGAAAGCCCGGCAGTCTGGTCGGCTTGAGGGTCGAGGGCCTGCGCGCGGAATAGCAATGATACCGAGCGGAGGGCTGGATTAAAGGAGACTTAAAGTTGCGGTGAGTGAGCCAGTAACTTGGGCTCCTCCACCCACCGCGCCGTCAAAAATCTAATCGTGCGTGCCGCCCCCTTCAACGGTTAACTGACGCACACGAACCTAGGAGGGAAAAGCACAATGCTGCAATGGACCTCTGGACAGGCTCCAATTCTAAGCTATGTGTTTGATGCGGTTGTTCATCACGAACAAAACACCATGGGAGAAATCACCGGAGATTCGAAACAGGAATTTTTGTTATTTTACCATCTTTCAGTACCTAACTTTACCATATGCGTAATTCTACCGACTTTCTTTCTCATTGAATACGGTGAAATTACGGAAGGAAGGGTATTGAGTACAGTAAATAAAAGAGATAAAATTACCGACCTGGAATTTCCTGTAAATTGGTCATTTCACCATATTCTGGTAATCCCACTATGATAATTTTTACCAGTGAATTTATTGCGTCCTTTATAGAAAAGCCAGTACGTTGCCAGCTTTTCCCACAAACTGGTAGCCACCGAGAGAGAACCATTCTTTCCTACGGTGTCACTCAGGTAACACTTATACTTTTGGCCGTCAAACAGGCTTACAGCATTAAAGATTGTGATTGGATGATTGCAACTTATACACGGAAAAACAATTGGTAATTGGACCCTGGTAAGCTTTTTGGTAATATGCCCTGATGGGATTTACTATACGCTTACATATCATCTACCGCCTAGTCACTTTCGTAGTAAACTTCACCTTAAAATCTGCATAGGCTCAAAATTAGGTAGATTTTTAATTGCCTTTTGCATGTTTTTTTCTACGTAGATCACGAAACGAAAGCATCCTTCCTCATGAAATTGCCTGGGAGAGTTTTGCTAGTTATAAAAACTAAAGCACGATACTTCTTGTAAAGAGATGAGACCATCACATACACCGATTAAGGCTACATAATCGTAATTTGCAATTAAGGAACATCAAACATGAACCACGATGTTAGTGGTCAAAGTGTCACTCCGTTTTTGCTGTAGAAAAATTGCAGAATTATGTAAGTTTCCTGTCCAGAATAATGATATAATCAATAAGTCACCTTCCACTCAAAATAACACAAGCGCCATTCCACGTTTAAAAATTTCCACCCCCGTTTAATTTTTTTACAGAGAAATTGTTCAACGAAGCTGTCCGAAAATTTCACTGAGTTTCATTTGTGCTGCTTATACTATTCAATGAAATTTTCAAACAGATTCAACCGACAATTTCTCTGTAAAAAAACGAAATGGCGGCGGAAATTTTTAAGCGTCGCATGGCTTTTGTGATACTCTTACCGGAAGGTCACAGCTGCACTGAATCTCGGTGTATTTACTCAGAAAAGGGTAAAATTACCAAGAATTCAGGGTTCTATTTGATCCCAGTTTTTTCGTGGTAAAATTACCATTTATGGAATCGGTAATTTTACCCAGAAATCTCAGTAAAATTATTGAACTTTCTCGGTAATTTTACTGGACCTTGGTAAAAACGCCAATATTTTTTATCGACTGTGGTAGAATTACCGAGATAAAATGGCAAAGTTACCGGGAATCGAAAACCACTAAAAGTGGTATTCTTACCTGAAAAAAAAACGGTAAAAATACCGGTTTTTAGGTAAGCTTACCAGTCTGTCTCGGTAAAATTACCAAGAATTGGTAAAAAAAAGTTAGATGGTAAAGGTACCAACGGACCTTGGTAAAAACGCCGAGAATTTTTTTTCAGTGTGTTCAGTTACCTCATAATAATGTTACTTCGATGGAGACTCGGCAACAATATACCACGGGGACTTATTTTAATGAGTTTCGCCGCGATAAAACATCATAGCTGTTTGTACACGTCGTGTTCACAAATAACGGAGGCCATCCACCTTGGAATGGGGCTCATGTCCGCTCCCGTATGGCCTCCCATCGATTAAAATATTTGAAAATTGATGTTCAAATAACATAAGGCTCCACTTAAAACGTTGCGGCCTCATCAGGTGGTAAAACAAGTCCCGATCCCTCGACGGTTGCGTTTAACACGGCGTTGTCCGCTCAACGAATAAAATGTGCGTTTATCACACATTCAAGAATGACATTCAAACACTGGAAAAAAAGTAGCTTGGATCTAGAGTCCAGACTCTTGAAAACAATGACAAGAAAAAATACTCTTGATTCAATCAGATTTAAGCTTAAATCAAAAGGAAATCCGCTCAAATTAAGAGGCTTGGTTCTTGATTTAAGCTTAAATCTGATTGAATCAAGAGTATTTTTTCTTGTCGATGTTTTTAAGAGTCTGGACTCTAGATCCAATGTGTTTTTTTTTTTTTTTTTTCCAGTGAAGGCTACGAGAGCAACAAAACCGAAGATAGGAAAGACGTACTATTTTTTAATTTTTCTCCTGATTCAGTCAAAGACCTCATTCATAATAGAGCGGATGGTTGCAAGGTCACGCTTTACGCCATCGCGCCTTCAATTTTACGGATGCAACACGGACACCCATCCAGCACGAATAGTTGTATCTCTGCGCCGTCATCAACGCACGTCCTCTCATCAGTTGTTAGAGGTAAAATTGCTTACCTCATTTTTTATCAAAACTCTAAGTCAAATGCATGACTCTGGAATGGGGAGGGGAAAAAAACCTTGAACAATAGTTTCCACGGAGTAAATATTTTTTTTCCATCACGACAAATTAGAAATAATGGCATTCAGAGATAAAATGACACACGGAGAAAAATACTTCGTGCATGGGTCCCAAAGTTGAGGTCATATGGATCTCTGAAGTTTTCGGATCACGCATCCGAAAACTTGAGGTCGAGGTGCCGAAGTTCGGGTCAGATTTCGAGGCACTTCGGTATGTACCGGAGCACTTCAGGTGTGTGACCCAAACCCTTCGGTATATATCGAAGTACTTCAGATGTCTGACTCGAGTTTTTAGATACGTGATCCGAAAACTTCAGAGGTCCATATGACTTCAACTTCGGGACCGCACGAAGTTTTTTTCTCCGTGCAGAAACGAAACGTTTTTCAAGCAAGCAACAAAAAACGTAGTACAAGAATAATTGACACTGAAATATAGAGATGGAGCTAGGTAAAATATGCCTTGAAATTTGGAGAAGAAAATGAAATTAATTGACCACAACTTAGAGGAGACGATTTCGCATCATCTGGTGCAAAGAACACCCAAATATGCGGGAATTCAAAGTTTGAGTATAATAAACTGCAAATTGAATAAAAAACATGGATGAATTTAGCCAATGCTATTGTCAGCATTGCAGCGATTCATTTCAAGAACTTTTAACATCATTAATGTGAGAAGTAAAGCCAAAGTTCTTATAGGCATTAAAAAGCGCTTCATAGCAAACACTGAAAATCGATACTTTAAACCCCGAATAAGTAGGTTTTTTGTTGTACTGGGCGGTTTTTTCCGACTTTGAAGGTAAAATTTTTGTTCCTCCAGTTAATCCGTATTATCTAACGTTACTTTGTTTCTTAATAAAAGAATTTAATTTAATGTAACTTATGCAAATAGATACAAAATATTTAGTTCTTGTAGTAGTTACAATATTTTTTAAATACAAATTTGATACATGAATAAGAAAAAACCCTTAAAGGTTCATTTGCCTGACTCCATCCCAAATGATGAATGTGTTACTTACAACGCCGGTGCCGAATTTTCGGATTGTACACGGAAGCGTGGCAGTGCTTCCGGTTTGAGCCACGATGACTGTTGAGTTTTCGGTAGCGAAGACAGCGGTGGAGGATGAAGATAATCCTATCTGGTTGTTTGACGATCCTCTCGGTTCCGCGTCGCCCGATTTTCCTATGCTTCGTCTGTGCTTGTACTTCAACGAACTCAGGAGCAGAGTGTCAAAATCTGAAACATACCATAGAAATAAATTAGATAAATTTCTCATTAGGATGGGAGCAGCAAAATGAGTGGCAACGAGCACCTTAAATAGAGAAACAAGGAAATGAAAGCGAGGTGGGGTAAACCATGGTTGGATGACCGTTGGATGACGTCATGCACTATTTTTTTGGATAAGCTATTTCTATGTGAACATTGAACGTAGGAACTTGGGATTTAGTCAGTTCTTATCAGTTTTTGCTCATCAACAAGCTTGAAAATCAAATCTCGATTCTGCAACTAGCGCAACTGGCTCATTGGTTGTTTTTTAAGTGCACTTATTGCTAGTCGACGCAGTATATTAAACAATACAGGCAATATATTACACGAGTGCACTTCTTACACGTTAAGAATGTAAGATGAATTTTGTTGGATGCTGTAAAGAGGAAACTGAAAAAAGCATCAACGGTTGTTCCAACCTTCTTGGCAGCGAGGTCTTCTGGCACGTCGATGAAACGGTTGAGTTTTGATCATCGGCATTAAATGACAAAACCTTCTGATCCACATCAATCGCAAAAATGTATAAAAAGACATTTTTTGATACTCTGTTTGCGAATTACGTTGATCAAGGGGTAAAGAAGAAGTGAGATCAAGAAGTTTTGATGGGCAACATTCAACAGTTGTTTCGATGCCCCATTTTGATCGGCTTACTTTGATCGTGAAAACATATAGTTTCTGACGGCGCTGTCTCGGATTATCGATAACCTCATTTCCTGCTTCATTTTTAGCAAGAGAGGAAGGGTTTACAGACCTTGTACTGCTTTCTCCCCTTGATGTAAAAGCTTGCAAGTCTCTTTGAAAATATATGCTCTTTGAATATCTTTAAATATATAATCTTTGACATTAGGTTACCATTGAAAACCTCGGGTTGATAAAGAAAACGATGTTGAAAACATCAACTAATTCGCGCAACTTTTTAGGTCGCCTCGGCTCAAAGCGCCACTTTCGCGAGCCGAGCAGCAGCCTCCGACTAAAAACTGAATTGTCGTATTCTCGACCGTCCTTTACACTACACCGTGCTAAGGAAAAAATGCCGTTTGAACGATTCGTATGTTGCCAAATTTCCTCTCAGATAATATTTATTTTTGAAGAAAGTTATGAATATTTTCCCTTGAAATTCTCAGACTTTTTAGATCAAACTTCGGACGAAATCCTCCGAAAGATCGGAAGAGAAATGCTAATAAACTTTCCCGAAAATACGTGATTTTTCAAAGGAGATTTGGCAACACCTGATGGCTCATACGACGTTCTTCCTGAGCACGGCGGTACACAGCCCCATTTTTCCTCTCAGCGTCGCGGAGAACGGCTTAATTCGTCGCCTACCTGACATAAGGACGTAACTACACTCCGCAGTGAACCCTGTCTTGCACACTTAACAATGCTTTTCCGGGCTCATCTCAATGTGTAGTTACGCCCTTATGTCAGGTAGGCGACGAATTGTAGCCACTTAAGCGCTCATTAATTTGGCTTACATCTCGGCAGCTCGGGGTATCCTAAGGGGGTGCAGGCCTCAAGGTCCTCCCAGCGTGTTTTCGTCAGAAATTAAAACGGAAAAGTCCCGAAATCTTCCGAGAGCCTAACACTCTCCCAAATTACTGCAGGCTCACGAGAACGTGAGTCGGAAAAACATTGTTTGAGTTTCGCCATTAATTCTCGGGGGCCTTTCTGGATTCAGCCGAGGAGTGACATTGTTCCAGCTCAAGGCTAATCTAATTAGCTCTCGTGCCATTTTTTTGCGGCTCGATCGACAAAGCCGCAAAATTTTCCGACGGTTGAGTGTTTCAAGCACTTGTCTCGCAATTACTTCTGCTCGGCTGCGAGTGATTATCGCCGCCAAATTTTCTACGGCACTCTTTTTGTGGCTCCTCTGACGTAAGAACGTGAAAAATTTCAAAGATGAGCCCGATTGTCCGTATAACAGTTTGCTTTCCAGGGCTCAAATTAAAATGTAGATGCGTTTTTACGTAGAGGGAACGACGCCTCCACGTTATGCGGTAACTCGCCTCTTTGATGTATTCTGTCTTGCTGAAGAAAAACGCCATATGGGCATTCGGACGTTGTCAAATTCTTGGAATAAAACAAAACGGTTCTGAGAAGGTTCTTTGTAAGTTTTGATTCCTCATTGATTTGAAGGAAAGAAAGAGTACGAAAGACATAATGTGACAAATAAATAAAAAAAAAACATACTTAAGAATACAAAGTAAGATTAAAAATTACCGACAAGTGAATTGATGCGAATGAAAAAACTTATACCATAAAGGATGGAAAAGAAAGCAGGAACCAAAACGAAGGTTTCGGGAAGAGACAAAAGAGGAGTAGGAGAAATAGCCGGAATTACCGCCACGATCGGTTTTTCTGGGAAAGTTATCATTACTTCCTTTCAGAGAATTCTCTTCACATTTTTGAAACTCTGAAAGTTTCAAGGGAAAATATTCATAATTTTCTTGGAGATAAGAGCTTACTGAGGAAAATTTGGCAATATTTGAATGTTCGTGTGGCGTTTTTCCTTCCCAAGACATTTTTCCTTCTCAAAAAAGTTGTTGAGAATTTGACGACTAATTTGCGTCTCTGTTGCCGATGATTAAGTTGGGAGAAAGGGTGATAAGGATCCAGGTGCTCAATTCACCTTCAAGGCAATGAAAATGTGATGGAGCTGCTTTTAATGTAGACAATCTCAAAAGATGATGTTAAATTTTTGCCTTCACGGCCTTGACTCAGCAGGTTTTTAGTATGAGTCTAAGAGTGGTCACGAGAGGAAACTGGGATCACTTTTATGGTTCAAAATATCAAAGTTACTTCTACCGAAATATTAGAAAATATCGATTTTTAAAATCTTAGACCGCTAAATGTCATGTCGGTTATCCGACAAGAAAAAATTTCCTGTCGGTCACGTAACTCACAAAACATTTTGTGGACATAAGGTCTCTGGAATGAAGTCATCATATTTTTGCGTGTATATTTTTATACAAAGTCACAAAATTTGAACACTCTCCAAAGACGAATGTATTCTTTTTCACTTAATGTTTCCCAAGTATTTTTTGAAGTCGAAGCAATTAACAAATCACCGACAATTTGCAAGCGATTTACATGTTCCTACTGTTGCTTCAATTAATTGCAAACAATTTCGTAATTTCCATGCGCATGATGAAAGCTTGACGAACGAAAGTCCTCAAAGGCACCATCTCGTGTTGAAGCGCCTTCATTTTTCATGATACCATCGCATTGTCACGGCGTTAGTTTAGTTGCATGTGCGATTCGAACCCAACCTAGGTCACGAGTTTTGCCACACATGCAACACAAATTTTGCTATCCTAGGTGTACGTACATGTCACTACCATGTATACGATGCACACAAAAAGGTGTGTATTTATGCTAAGTAACGGCAAGAAAATCTGCCCTCTCTTCTTGTTTATTTATTCCTGAATTTAATCCTTTTCAAATTATTCACTTGTGACTTGCACATTGTCCGCGATTGGTAACTGCCCACGACATATACTTCAAAAACTTAACTGGTAATACTAATGTGTCTGCTGATGTGAAATCACACCGATATGCAATTGGTCAGATATTACGATGAATAAACGCAATATCTGGACTCCGTACTTAGCGAAAGCCAAGACTTAGCCCGAGCCTCACTCCGAGAAAATTCCTCGAGATGTTTGTCTGATGTCAACAGGATTTCGAGAGGCACAATGCGAAATGCGCTCGGGCGAGCCGAAACAGAGCCGGAGCGGCGACTCGGCTCAAGGAAACATTCCATCCGGCGGTCTTGTTTCCTTCATCCTTCCAGTGCACGCATTTACTTTTGATTGATGCAGACGCATTAAGCGGTCCCGCGGGTTGCAGCGCCGCGAGATGAAGGGGCGGAATTAATCGAGACGAGAGATATCATTAGCGTAAATCGTCAGCACTTAAGGCGCGGCGAACGGACGAATCCATGCAAGCGATTTTAATTGCTGTTATTATAATAACCGTTTACTACTGACCCCCTTCTCGCGAATCGATTGTCAAGCCCCCCGGCCCCCGCCGCATCCCGTCCACTTTGTATATTTCAATTACCCTTTGCTGTGCTGCGCCCCCCGGATCCCCCGGAACCGTTACTTTGCGCCCCCGTTTTCCTTTCTCCATCGACAAATTTCCCTTTGATGATTTCCGTTTTTATTTCGCGTTTTTCGCCGTCGCCGAGTTTCGATTTTGCAACGGGTTCGGGCTAACAATAGCTTGGATCGACTCATCGGTTGCGGTGTAGCCGAACTCAAAATTTTATAGACTGTCGTATGCAACTGCAACGTAGTGACGTGTATTGCAACTGAAACAGTTTAACTTCGATATTTAATTTAAATAATATAAAGGTTATTTTTTTCCGTTATCGGTGGAAAGAAAACCCTGGTAAAAATTGGCAGTAGACTCTGTGTTCCAAAATACCATAGACCTACGGCCGGCTGTGAGATTTCCAATAGCTTCTATGGCCGGCTAAACAATTTCTTACAGCCTTTTATAGCCGATGGCGATTAAGCAACTCACAGCCAGGCGATAAAGTGTATGCTAAACGTCACTAATTGCGGATGCTAGGACTTAGTGAGTTTTTGGACCACTGCTCTCTTTTTGGGCCGTAGTATCTTGATTTATTTTGCGAGGAAAGCTCCGTACTTTTGATGGATGCCTGCCATTCCTAACATATTAGAGCGCCTTCAGTTTCGTATGATGCTGTGCAATACCTCTGGTGTGAAATAGTTGCTTCAAGCGCCCGTGTCACGCTGCGGTGCGGCAGGCGGGCAGCCAGCGCGAAACGCGCATTGGCGCCGACAAACCTAACAGGGATCCTTCACGCGTTGCGCAATGCGTGAAGTATCCCTGTTAGGTTTGTAGGCGCCAGTGCGTCGCCGTTCCGCTTTGTGTTAGGCTCTAATATTTAATCTGGCGGAGTCAGCGTTGTTCAACTCATGATTTTGAAATGTTTGCACACTCTG